TTTATTTCATTCCAGGAAGTGTACTGTGATGCGATTACATCAGTTAAATTAGACAAATAAATACCGGAAAACAGAAGAAAAAAGATAAAAAAAAAACATGAATAGCTCAATGAAATTAGGAAACTTGAAAACTGTGGAATAAAAATTTCAGGCTCAGTAGCATCACGAAACAATGGGACATAGAACAATTAAGGGAATGAAACGTTATCGCAACACTGCAGTCTCAAGAATTTGGCTCGAAACTAAATCATTTGTGAAATTGATGTTTGATCGATTCTAGTTGTGTGTTGTTTTCTGACATAACGAATGTTGTCTCTTTAATACGATTAAAATATTTATAAATTATAATATTGGAAATAAATTAAATGGATGTGTTTTTTTAGTAATATAAACGGATTTTATTCTTTTTTTAAAAGCGAATGAAAATTTGAAAACATTTTTCAAACATAAATTAAAATCATTCATTTTCTTTCATTTATTATTTAAATATTGATAACATATTCATTGATTTAATAATATTTGACAAATATTTATCACATTAATTAAAATTGAAAAACTTAATTTAATAGTTATTTTTTTCACTAAAGTTACAAAACAGTTAACACAAGACAAGCCTGCTAAAAGGCGCACAGTTTTTAAAACTGAAGATGCTTGTTCATCGCGTTTTCCAGCATCTATTATCGCTATTAAAAATGCTGGCATATCACTATGTACATAGATCTCCCAAAAACGCGAGCTTAGAAAAATAATTTTTAAAATATAATTTTTCTTAAAAATATTTAATGGTTAAAAAAAATAGCCCCACTAAAAATTCCAAACCCCAACTATCAACATCACCACCGCCAGCAGCATATTTAATGCATTAGGAAAAACGAAGAACAGTGGAGCGAGCAAAAACAATGACAGAGGACTGAAAGACAGACGGAAAGACAGACGGACGGACGGACAGAGAGACAGACAGACAGACAGGCGGGCTCCAGGCAGACAGACAAGAGACATAATGAATGAGATAACTGACATAACAAAGGCATATGATGTAACCAATCCATACATCAATATGCATTTTTGAGGAACCGCGCTTGCTTCAAAACAAATGGACGATCTCTTCTTGCAGATATATTTTGCAGTTCTAAGGTCCTCGTGTTGTTATGTTGTAAATGATTTATAATCTTTTAACGTGTGTTTGATTATTGTTATGAAAGAATTTAATAATTTTATTGATTGTATTAATGTTCCCATCTGTTTGCTAACGTTTCATCTAATTTTGAACTAAAAAAATGATTAATAATAATGCTACAACTTCATTCATTTTTGGCTTTTGTTTTTTACTTTTTTCAAAACATAAATGTAATTACTGAAATTTTTATTCAGAAATTTTCCGTGTGAAGGTTGAATATTTAAAAAAATTGTTGTAAAAAACAATTATTTGAAGTATTCTTTAATATAAAATATCAAAAAGATCAAACCAAAATTCAGCATAGAACTTCACAAAAAAAAGAAACCCAATATTATAAGATTAACTTTGAGGCGTAATTCAATTTTAAACAAAAAGTTATTCTGAAAAATTATCAAAAATTTCAACAACAAAAATTTTTTACGACATGTTTTTGTTTAATTTTGTCTTTCTAAGGAAAAAAATGCAAAACAAACTTGCGCCACCAAATGATGAAACCATTTGTTGGGAATTAACAAGAAATTTTATGTTGCTGACACTGGTGGGGTGGCATTTATAAACACTTAACTCATGGGACGCCGAACGTGGTTTGTTCCTTTAAAAGTTTGAAATATTGGGCCATTGAATTTTTGTTGCAACAACGAATGCTGCTATGTACCGATGGCGTGTGTGTATGTGTGTGTGTTTATGTGTGTTTGTGTGTGTGGTGTGTGTGTGGTGTGATAAACGTGTTTGCTCCTATTAGTATTTTTATGGGTTAACAATTAATTAGAATTTAATATGGCGTAAATCTAATTTGTCTATTTTTCTATAAACTTAAAACTAATTAAAGCTGAATTTTTTAAAAACATTCTCTTACTAAATAATTTTTTAATTTTAATTTTTGAATATGGATACTGATATGATCCTGAGATCATAGAATATTGCCGACAGCAATACGGATACTACACTACCGACAACAATGGAATACTCAATAATGAATATGCAACAATGCGATGAGGCTGAGATGATGTAGTTTTGGTGTGACTGTGATGTGATGGTGAGCTCATTCAGTTAGGGAGTAATTATTTTGGGATACGAGAATGTCGTGACGCGATGGTGTGTGGTGTGGTGGTGCAACGAGGCAGCAGGTTTTAAAGTAGCCAACTCGAGGAAAGTGAATTATGAAGTGCACCTTCCTTAATTGCTCATTTCAAATTGATGAATCATCACCAGTGAATTATTGCTGGGAGATTATTTTTGGTATATTGCTACTGCCACTTTCTCATAATAAATTTTCTCTCTGAAAACATTTTGTTATCCTAAAAGCTTCTTATCAACCCACCTGAAAGCTCACAGATATTTTTTGTCTGAGCAGATGACAAGGAAAATTTTTTAAATTAAAACTAATCTTCTGCAAAAATATGCTTCAAACAACTAGCAGAGAACAAATGAAATTATTTTCACTGTTTGAAAATTAACGCTATACCAGTTTTTAAATTGTCATGTTGCATTTAGATGTTGTTATTTAATAAATTATTAAAATTACTATAATATTCAAATGAGTATTTGTGTGGAATGGCCACTCCGAATTCTGGTAGACCCAAAACCATGAATGTGGAAATTAGCTTATAACATTGCAAATATAAAAATCTATGCGTCTTTTGCAGATTTAACACAACATATCATAACGTGTAACTGTAACATATCGTAATGTATATTAACGGCATTGTTGCATATTAGTTCTGTGGTACACTTCTTAACATTATTCACATTAAGTAGCCTTGGGATAAACTAGTTCGACTTTAGCAAGCCCAGCTCATGCCTACCATATTGTTTTAATACAATTATCTATCTACACTGAAACAATATTGAAGTGAAAATAATAGTTTATGATAGAATGTTGGTCATTCACACACAAACAGACAAACTCACAATGATGGCGTTGTGCGTGGTCACGTGATAGATGTCGAGGTCACGGTCAGCTGACCTGCCATAACAATGCTTCGTGCTAACCAATTGCATCAGAGCATTTCTTGACTCCTCCCAAGTCACGTGATCTGTTCTACGCACATGTGTGTGGGCAGTTTAATTTGATTCATTCAGAAAAAAATGTTGTGACGCATAAAAAAATGATTTTAAATAGCGTAATGGTATTAAATTTAAATTACATGAAAACACAAACGTGGGAATAATTAGCTGAGTATTTAATGATTGATCTTAAGATTAGAGAAAAGCAAACAAACTTTGTAATTAATTATAAGTTAACACCGAAATTAAAATTTCATTTATGAAACGGGCATGATCAAAAATAACCATACGCATGTTTGTCAATCCTTTTTCCTAATTCCTACCCTAAATACACGTGTATAAGGAAAAAAAATGTTTATTTTATTTGAGGTGTTGGAACATTTTTGAACGAGCCTCGTCGTCATTCACACTCTGACTATGTTATTACATCTTTATTCACATATGATTATGTTATTAGCAGTTGAGAAAGAAAAATTTAGTCTTTATATATTGTATTTTATTATATATTCTAGTTTCAGACAGTTGAAAAATGTTCTTATTGAGGCATTTCAAACTGGCGTATCACGTAAGTAGTTGCCACAAGTTTACAGCGGATTGCAATAATTATGGCAAGAATATAATAAATGAATGCTAACAGATAAACACTTATACAAGCCCAAACATTTATACAGAAATTTCACTTATTACAATAATTAAACACGCATTTTTATTGAAAATTGTTTCTAAAAGTTCATTTTATAAACACTCACAAAAATTGACAGCCATATCCATCAAATTACATGGGCACATATATCATTATAAAATGATTCTTTCAAGTTTTTTCTAAGACGTGGTCAAATGTTCATGGACATTTGGCAATTTAGCTAGGCTATTGTTTAACGTTAACACTGGCATGTAATTTATTATTCTCACTACAAATAACTGAATCAGGTTGCTATTAGGATGAATCAAATGAAGGTAATGGTTATAAGAGAATGAACATGTTGTGTGGAGCAGCATAGCACAGATGACCTGGACATCACGGCGCACACGAATGATGTATGTACTTTGTCTGAAGTATATAAAAAGTCTGGCGGACAAAGTGTTTGATGAATTTTATGTATGCGATGTGCATGCATTGCACCATCAGGTACTCTGCCGTATATAACAAACAAGGTGTACAATGCGTAAGTAACTCTTTCATTTTTGGCCACATTCTCCGTTTCTGTTTTACGAGTGAAGTTTCGTGCTACGCTCTTAGTTATTACTGCTGCAAAATAATTCAAAATAGTTTCAATGCCAAGCTAACCTTAATGATTCAAACCATTCGTTACGTTTGAATATCTTGTTTACAAGGGAACTCAATGAAGAAGGATTTGTTCAAGTAGGCTAGGTGTAAAGGTACAACATATTATTTGAATGTTTAGAACAAACATTGTGTTTAGGGTGAGAAAGAGACCAGTGCAAGCTTTAAAGGAGCATCAAAAGATTTCATATCGTTCATGGTTCATCCTGTCACTGCCAGATTAATAGAACCTTCTTAGTTTTCTTTCATTCATTCATTTTCATTCTTTCCTTTCTCTCTTTGTTTTTATTTGTTTATCTAAGATGTTTTTTCAAACATTTTATAGTTTTTTAAAAAGAAAAAAACTTGTAAATAAATTAAAAAACGTTTTTTTTTAAAAAAAGCTAAATTTTTGTCTGAACATTGATTTTATTTTTTGTCAAGTGTTTTCTCCCATATTTAATATTTAAACTGATTTGTAAATACTTTTTAAAGTGAATAAAACTGAAAATCGAAATGAAGGATGAAATGATAGCAAGAAGGAGAGAGTTCTCACTCTGAAAAGAAGCTTCCTGCGATGTTGATGTGATGTTGTGCATCTGCAGTCTCAACCGAAGTTCTGACGTCACTCTCAATGTTTGTGATGTTTTTGCCGGATGCAGTTGTTGTCGTTGCCGTTGTAGTTAGAAGCGTTGTTCTTGAGAACTTTATAAGTTGAGGAGGTTTGATGAGTGTAACTGCGGCCGCACCTGTTTTCAATTTGTTTTAGTAAGTTTATGTGATTCTGTGTTTGTTGGAATATCCAATTTTTAAAAACACGTGTCATCTTATCATCTAATTTTTCTTAATAACTAATCAACCAAACATCCAATCAACCAACTGACCATTAATTTTTCCTCATCATTAATAATGTTTCGATTTTTTAATCAGAAACTGTGTAGGCCAATCAGACAAATACAAAAAACTAATCAACTGACCAAACGATCACCCAACCAACCAACCGACCGACCGGCCAGCCAATGGACTAACCAACTATTCAGCCAAGCAACCAGCTAATCAACTAACTAATCAATCAAACAACTAACCAACCGGACATTAAATCGCAAACCAACCAGCCACAACCAATCGCTTAACCTTCATCATCGTCGTCCTCAGACAGGAATGCATGTTGGTTGAGGAGTTGAAGCCCATGGTAGTAATCATCATCGTCTTCGTCGTACTGTGGACACTGCTCGGGCAACAAATCCCGCCACATCCCAACTCGCACGGACGAAGAACAAGTTCCGGCGGAAATAAAAGACGCACCGGAAGTTCGTCGCCATACTGGGACATCATCGTCATCCGCCTTATCATCATCATCATCATCATCATCACCCTGGTCGCCATGTTGTTTTCTTCTGTTGCGGTTTTCCTCGAAGTCCTTCCAGCCAGACTGCGAATTTTTCTTTTTTGTTGCCTTTTTATTTAATGTGCTGTCCTCGAAAGCAATGATGTCACTAAGTACCTCTATCTTATCGTCATCATTATCGTCATCATTGTTGTTGTTTTTGTTGTTGACGGATTTTATTTTGCCGCTTTCTTTTAAAGTTTTGTCGTTGTTGGATATGTTGCAATTATTTTTACTTTTCGTTTGAGCTTTTTGGCTGTTGTTAATGACTTGAATGTTGTTGAAGCTGTCGTCGTTGTGGCAGCTGCTTTTTGCGTGAGTATTTTGGTCGTTACTGTTGTTTGTGTTGTTATCTGCGATGTTGTTCCGGTTGCTGTGGCCGCTGTTGATAGAGATGTTGTCGGCGAGGCAGGTGATGGCGGTGCCCGTCGAAAGGGATGTCCGCACGGGGGAGTAACTCTTCTTCGAGCGTTTCAGGTTCTTTCGGAATTTGCTGATGAAATTTATTCGCAAAGATTTCGTTTTATTTGGACTTTTCATACAATAACATGATTGCTGGCCTGTTGCAACTGCTACATTTTTCAAATTATTTTTATTATTATTTTTATTAATTTTATTATTGTTGTTGTTGTTGTTGTTGTTATTGTTGTTGTTGTTATGGCTTGTATCTGTATTAACACAGCTTTTAATTTTTAAACCGAACAGTTTATTATTGCAAGCAGTATTATCAGTGTAATTAGTATTTACGCTGGTAGTAGTAATACTGTTTGTAATAGAAAGTGTAGCATTAGGTGTAGTTGAAGTAGATGTTGTGGCTGCGGAAGCGTCAGCACTGTCCACAAAATTGTTACTAACAGTGCTGTCATCAGCAAGATTGTTCTCGTTATTATTTCTGTTTGCTTCACTACTGCTGGCACCTGCGCTCATGTTGAAATCGGCGTGAATACAACTATGGAAATTAGCATGGCATACAACATCTCCCTCGTTACCAGTTTTTTCAGTGACGTCAGGGTGACGTTCGTGTGAAATGTGGTCGAAGTGGTTGTGCATGTGAGTGTTGCAGCTGCTGTAAGGAGGGTTTTCAATGACCACTGTACAGAAGCCGTTGTTGGGGCTGCTGGTTGTGGTGAGGTCGTGATCGCTGCCGTCATCGCTCTCATCGCCATCTTCATTTGCATTATTGCCATAGTTGTTTATGTTGTTGCCGGTGTTGTTGCCGACAAATTCAGTGGTTTGCAGTTTTTTGTAGTTGCAGGTTGTGTGGTTGTTAGACTTTGCGGGAATGTATTTGAAACTCATTTCCTCTTCTAATTTCTCTTCGTCGTCGTCTTCTTCGTTGTTGTTGTTGTTGTAGCAATTGTCGTTATTGTCGTTGTTAATGGGGTTGCTGTTGTTGATGCTGTTTGTTTTGTTGCACTTGTTAAAAAAAGAACTGAAAGCAAATTTTGATAATCTGTCAAACATTTTTTTCTGTTACGGTTTTCAGTTTTTTGTTTTCTGATGCTCTTTTGTTACCGGTTAGTTTTTTGTTACTTTTCTGTTGTCTTGGTTGTTGCAATCTTTTGTTATTGTTTACGAAAGAAAAGTTTGCAATAGTTGTTGTCGATTGTTGTTGCGACTGTTTATTTTTTGAGTAAAAGTAATCCAATTGTTGATGCTTGCCTCGTAATGTGCTCACGTTAAAAAGTACTTCTCACATCAAAATCTAGACAACTTTTGTCGTTGTTCGAATAGATTTTTTAAACGCAATAATAAATTGCTGTTGTTATTGTTGTTGTTGTTGCTGCTGAATGAATGTTTGTGTTACATAGATGTTAATCTGTCTTGCAACTGCTGTCGCAAAGATTTCTAACGATGCCGTTTTAATGTTGTTCAATCCAATTTACTGTTGAAGTTCATTTTAAACGGTCAAAAATGTTATTTATTATTTTATGAGATTTTTAAAACTATAATTGAAATTAAATGAAAAAAATCAATAAACGAATAAAATCATTATTTGTTTTTACTATATAAATACTTTTTTCATTAATAAAAATCAGTTGATAGATCAAAATAAAAACTGTGGCCTGCCAAGCAAACGAGTATTTCAACATTAACACAACCACATCTGCACTTGTTACATTCCAAGTTTATTCTTAAATAATTTGAAAATTAACAATCACCTTCATCACATTATTGATCGATATCATTTTAAAACCTTTTCTCAGTCAATTTTATCAGCATTAGCATCATAATGATCACGAACTCGATGATGAAAATGATCAGTAATAAAAGATAATGACACTAAAATAGATATATTCAAAGATATCATAGTCAGAAACTATAGATTATAAGCGTGATAAGCATCATCATCATTCATTATCATTCGTACATTGTCATCATTTTTTGAATTCTCATTGTCATCATCGTCGTTTTCATCAACAACGCCGTAATCAGCTTCAGCATCCACATAATCACCATTATCACTGCCAGTGGTTACATGTTATCACGTCTGGTTGGTGCGTCTACACGTTTGTTGGCCATCAGAGCATGCATCAGGGATCAGGTAAATTGAAAAATGTTTCTACCAAATAATTTCGCTGCTGATGATCATGATGATGAGAACGATGATGCTGACGCTGAGGAAGATAATGGTGATGAATATGATGATGATGGTGATAAGGATGATGGCGATGATGATGATAATAATGATGATGATGATGGTGGTAATAAGGATGATGGTGATGATGATGATGATGATAATAATGATGATGGTGATGATGATGATGATAATGATGATGATGATGGATGATGGTTATGGTGATGAGGATGGTGATGATGTTATGATGATTTTGATGTACAACGATGAAGTGTGCCGATGATGAAAAGATCTCAGTTGATGATTCGGCGATCTTACAGATAATGATGGTGAATCGATTTGATTAATAGAAGATTGAGTTATTTTAAAGTTTAAAATGCTTCCAAAATGCTGACCCCTTTGTTTTTTTGTCCTGATTGAAAGTTCTACATTTGATTTGGTCAATACCAGGTCTAACAAGAACTCAGTTTTATAATTTGATTGTCAAATTTTTGTTCATCAGATATGCTATCTATTGATATTTCCATTGATTTTTGTTTTCAATGATATTAACTTTTCAGCTTTTTGGTTGATGGGAGCTAATCAAATCAGCACTGTTGTTTATGTTGTTAGTATTTGTTGTTACTACTACTACCACTACTACTACTGCTACTACTGCTACTACTGCTACTATTACTACTAATACTACTACTACTGAAATTACTACTACCTTTACCATTACTATAACTATTGTTACTACTGCTAATACTACTACTGCTACAACAACAGCAAACTACTACCACCACCACTACTACTACTTCTATTACTACTGCTGATGCTGCTACTACTTCTACTACTACATTACAACTTTAACCTTAACATTAACAAAACTAATAACCTACTGTTCTACGCACGGCAGATCACTACTAGTAGGTAGATGATCAACTGCATAATTAATGTCCCATATACTGAACCGACAACGATCACAACAGCCTCATCTTCTACGTAGTCTCCTACCACATCATCGTAACTATCAAAATCGAAAAACCACAAATTATTTCTCTTTTTTTTCGAATTTTTATTTTTAAAATATATTTAAAATGTTGTTAACTAAAAGATCGCCAAATTAATGTAAAGCTGAAAACCTCCCAATAGCAGTCTTTCACGAAAATTCCATCAAATTTTTATTCAAGAAAACAACAGCATATTTTTTTCTATAATAAAATTTATAAAATTAAATTAATTCAAAAAATTTTAATTATGTTAAACAAACTACAAAAATAAGAAGCAAGAGATTATTTCTAAAAAAATTGTTTGTTTTCTACGTAGAAAAAATTTGTTGTCTATAATTAGCAAAATTAAATTGCGCTATGAATATCAACAAATGAAATTTGACTGGCTTCGACATGAAATTCTAAATTAAATTTACAAAGACGTCTCCAAAGGGAGCGTTTTATTATTTACACATGCAAATGAATTAAGAAACGAATTAAATTATGGTGAAAGTGTTGTTGAATAGGCGTGAAAATTATTTAAAATAGTTTTTAAATAAATTAAAAGTATATTAAAATATTCGGTTATAAATTTTTTTATTATACCCAATGGAACATTTGTAGAATGAATTTTTTGAACAATAATTTAGAAATTGAAAAGACATCAGATGTTCGTGACATCTCTTTTCGGCTTCATTGCCACAAACAACAGCATCAATATCAGCATCGTTCTTACCACCAAAATAATTCCCTTCTAAACCATTTTCATCCTTATTCTCAACATCACCATCATCAACATATTCATCATCATCTTCAACATCATCATCAACATCATCATCATCAACATCATCAGAAACAGCAGCAGCAGCATTATAACTAACATAATCGTCATCATTATATCCATAATCCTCAACATCATCATCGTTAATTAAATTCGTTATTACCATCATCTTAAAATAACCATTGCTATATATTATTATTATTATTGTTATTATCTAAACAAAATTCAAACAAGCAAACAAATTAAAGAAAAAATAAATATATTACAAACAACCAAACAAACAAACAAAAAAACTAATAATAAATTATGCAAACATATCATTGAGTAATAACGCAGAGATAAATAGAGATTAATTTATAATTAAAAATAATTTATATGTGGAACGACGTGTTTGTATGCCGGCCATGCATGACGAACCATCGGCGCGTTATTTGCAGTTTTAGTGTTTGTTTTGTTAGCATTCATTTAATCAATGTTACTGCTGCTGTAGCTGCTGCAACTGCTGCTTATGGCGCTGGTGTTAGTTGCTTTTAAGAGCTGTTGAGTTGATGTTATGGGTGTGTTGTTGTGATTGTTGATGATGGTGAGATTTTTTTTCTATGATGTATTTGTTGATATACATTACAGTCAATGATAACTTGGACTGTTTGATGGTGGTGATTTCAAAATATTTGCAATACATTTAGATATATTTTATTTCGTGTGTCTGTCTTAATGATACATTTGTTTGTAATGTTAGGTGTGTGCCAGCGTAGAACGTTGGGACGATGTATCAATGTATGACGGACGCTTTGTGAAAATAATATTTCAGTTTGTACCTGCTTATATTGTACCTCTGGTTTCCTTCGTCTGATGTTTCTGAAAAATAAATTGCGTCGTGAAATATGGAGTATAGCAATTATCGTTAATTTGAATATTAAAATAAAAACGTTTGCTATGAAAGAAGGAGAAAAGAAAGTGAATGATTGAGAATAAATGTGTCAAAAAAACCTTTCTGTTCATTGCGGTGTGTCTGTAGCGTTGCAAACGTGCGAAGGATTTTTTGAATACCTCTTTATTCATTTATTTGTTCAATCAATCAATCAATCAACCAACCTATCAATCATTTGAACATTTTTCCATTCAAACGATCAGTCTTACGAGTATTCAATCAAGCATTCCTCCTTACAATCACTCATCTGTTTACATTATCTTGTATCATCTTCTGGTCTGCATGCTAATTTTTTTTCTTACTCCGCCCCTGAACATCTCTCTATTTGTTCGATGCATTCTTTTATTATCTGCCATTAATTTTTTATTTTAATTTGCATCTAATTTGCAACTGCAACTCAAGTAAGTTATTCCCGTGTTTTTTTCTAAACATATAAATCTTTTTAAACAACTGTGCAACACTTTAAAATTGAATCAATAGAAAACTGTATTACAGCGCTATCCTTTTGAGAAATTAAAAACTAATTAAAATTACACATTAATTACATAAATTAACGACTGTAATTTTTGATTGAGACATCTGAATTGAACTTTCATATTTAATTGCAGACGGTCGTTTTAATGTCTAAACATTTTATGAGCAAGCAGAGCAAACGGAGGCGTGTTTCTGTCCAAACCGTTCATTTGTCACAGAGACGTGGTATTAACATGTTCTTGGGCATATCTTCTGTTTATAGAACAGTGTACTGTATATGCATATTTATTTCGTCATGCAAGTACATTAATAATCAAATATGTTGTACAGTGTCTTATATATATATATATATATATATATATATTATGTTGTGTGTGCGTGCGTGCGTGAGTGTGTGCAAAGGTGCATTTGTTGTAGCGTGGAGCACATAAGCCTGACAGCGAACGTATACTTCATCCTCATGTTTGCACTCAAATTTATGTACGTGCTTGTACATCTGGTGGGAACATCCATCCGAATGAGACACACAAAACATAACATCACAAACAGTGGACTGCGTATAAGATTATTTAAGTTTAAGAAAAGAAATTTTAAAGGAAAACATCGTCAAATTATAAATTACTTTTTTCATCAAACCGTACTCCCCTCAACTACTCTCGTACTGTGATCATAAATATGCGCGTTGAAATGATTTTACGAAATAACTATGTGTGTTCAAACGATAACTCG